GTGTGAATTGAGTTTAGGTTAGGTTTAGGGATAGGTATGGTTAGGGTTAGGGCAAGGGTCATGGTTAGGCCATATAAATTAGTGGGAAATGAATGGAAGTCAATGGAAGGTCCCCACAAGGATATTGTGACACAACGTGTGTGTGTGTGCTTTGCTGCGTATTTTAATGTCAGAGCGATGACAATCGAAGGAGTCAGAGAAGGTCTTTTGGTAAAAATCTCATCAGCATGAATGGTCAATTGAACGCATTATGGCAGCACAATGCTCCTCCTATGAAAAGAAAGGCCAGTTTGTGAGCATAGCAGTGAGCTGTGTGTGGGTAGATGTGGGTGAGTTAGAATGTGCATCTTACGTAAAGCTGGCCTGCGTCCACACAAAGACTGCCCCGTGTCCTGAGTGGTCATCCCCAGGATCACATAACTGAGTGTGAGCAGCGCAGCACGGATAGTTTCAGCAAGTGGGGTTAGCAAATCAGATTTTACGAATAAATAGACCCTTTAAAGAGTAAAAACAATAAAATGATTTCCTTATTTCTCTGGATTACTTCAAAATAAAAGGCTCCTGTATCCAGGATACTGTGGATGTTCACTGCATTCATTTAGCTCCATTAGGAAGATGAGGAAGACTGACAGAAGGGGAACTAAGGCTGAGCTTATCAGTCACTGCAGGTGGAGCTTTCTATCAACATCCACATGGCAGAAAATTCAATAAGCAGGACTTTGCTTTAAAAGAAAGCATCACAAACCAACAAAAATCAACAAGTCTTCCTTCTGGTTATGCCCCAGTTTTTAGATAATCCAGTGATTTTGTATGTAAATGTGTGTCATGTGTTTGTGGTTACAGAGGTAAATAGTTTTATTTACAGTATTACTTAGATCAGTGGCTGATCTGCTTCAAACGTCACATATTGGATTAAAAAATGCTAAAACACTTCACTATAACAGGTGAAAAGAGCTGCTGTGAAGCGTCTGAAGTAATAAATTCCAGAAACCACAGCGACAGTTCAGCACATAATGACTGTTCTGACTCTTATGCTACGTTCACACCTAAAGCAGCAGAGGCAGCAGAAGCAGCTGGTTTACATGCAACATCAATGCATCAGGGCGTGTCAACCATTCAGATGTTGAGAAGACGGCGGAGCTCCGAGGCTAACCGCAGGCAGGGCTAACGTTAGCCGTCTGCAGCAGCCAGGGCTAACAAACGTTAGCACATTTGGAGAGGTTTGAAAATTATCGGACAACAGAAATTAAAAGTCTAATAGCTCTGGAACTGTTAGAGGTCTGAAATTTTCAGCAGTTGTTGACATGATGCAGAATAAATGTAAAACAATGACACGTGCCTGCTATAAAGCATGTCTTTGTCACTGCTATTCAAAAGAGACCTATTATTTTCAAGAAGAAAAAAAATAAAGTTTGAATCATGTTTTAACTGCAGCAGTTTAGGCTGTGTTTTAGTCACATTATTTTCATTTATATTTTTAGGTGTTAGCTTTCAAATGATGTATTACACATGGCCCTGTCACACCTTGCCGATTTATCCAGCGTATGCCTGACGTACCAGAATTTCCTAACCCTATCCTACACAGAGTATTCATAGCGACTCCAGAACTTCTGTCCAACGACAGCCTAACTTAAGCATCATGCAAGGCAGCGTAATGCCCATGAAATGATGCTTGTACATCACTTAAAGCTGCCCCCCTTGGGCGCATCTCCTGAAGGGGCAGCAATGCGCCCGGAGGCGCCCGGCCTGCAGAAAAATATCTCTTTGATCGTGGTATTAACCAAGCTGCTGCCCACCCGCCAAAAAAAAAAAAGAAGAAAGAAAAAGAAAAAGAAAGAAAGAAGGTTTCTGGTAGCAGCAGATTGAGCGTCATGTCTGCTAGGAAGGTTGTTGGTGGTGGGCGTGAACGCAGGGAGGATCCATCACTCACCTTCTGGCTCACCCTATGATGGGGATGAAGTTTGGAGGAGAACTGACGGTTTCCTCCTGTGAACCCCCTTTATACCAAAACGCTGCCAATACGCCATTATACAGTAGCTGGATGTTAGAAACACGTCCAGCGCTCGTCTGGAACATGACAGATACGTTGATATGCGTTGGA